ATTATTTCTAAAAAAATTTAACTTATTATTAAATATTAATATTTTTAATAAATAACCATTCTAAATTTTAATTTACTTAAATGAGCACCTGCATATAATTAAAATTACTTGAAAAAATAAAAATTCATTTCAATTTTATAAATCCTCAAATTAAAATCATGCATGTATTATTAGTGTTAAAAAAAATAAAATTATTTATTTTTCTATACAAATTAGTGAAAAAAATGTAATTTAATAATGATATTAAGTTTTTTAAGAAATAATAAAATTTAAATTATAATATTGATAATTGTAAATTAAAATTGAATCTTAATTAATGTAAATTGAAATTTATCTTAGTTAATTATTACGTTTGACAAAAAAATTAAAATTTAAAAATAAAATATTGTGAAAAATAAAAATATATGTACTATATTTAATGTTTTTCAAAAGTTTAAGGAGCAGTTTGTCTACCCAACCCCCTCTGTTTGTCTAATTAGTGGAATGTATGTTAAGTAAACCATTTTAAAACAAAATTGATAGTTTATAAATCATTTTGAAAGAAAATATTGTTTTTAAATTAAACTGAAATAAACTACAGAGTTAATAGGCTATTTATTGAATTTATTATATATACCGTTAAGATAAAAGTTAAATGTTAATTTTAGTCCCTTAATTTTAAATTTTTGCATAATTTTCATCCTTAATTTTTTTTTTTGCATTTTTTATCCTTAACTATGAAAAATGTATTTTTTTAGTCATTCTATAAGTTAATTCGTTAAATCTATCTGAATCTGCACATTTTTAGTTCATTAGTTTCTAATATATGCACATTTTGTCCCTCAACTTTAAGTTGAGGAACTAAAAATATATAGATTTAGATATACTTAACGGATTAACTTATGGAAGATTAAAAAAGTGCATTTTTCATAGTTAAGGGACTAAAAAAGTGTAAAAAAAAGTTGAAGGTGAAAATTGTGCGAAACCTTAAGTTGATGGATCAAAATTAGCATTTAACCTAAGATACATAAAAAAATGCCACATGGGTTGAGATAATAGACTTAACCGATAGTGGGACTGAAATTATGTAATTTTTAAATTTAAGGGGCATAAGGTATTGAAGGACAAAAAATGCACAAAATTCTAATGCTGAGGATAAATTAACATTTAACTTAAAATTAACTATTGGGTAAATTTCCTTTTCTATCCCTAGCCTTTATGATATGGGACACCTTCATCCTTAACCTTCATTTAAAGCTGTCCTTTCTCCCCATCCTCAACGTTTCTTAAATTGTTCACCTACACGCCCTCCGTGAGAATGGGACGTTAAATACTAACAGGAGTTTCTGATGTAATAATTAATGGACCTACAATAAATAAACACTTTAAGAAAATGATTTAAAGTTAATTTTTTTTCATATTTTAGTATAATTATGTGTTATTTATGTAATTAATTTTTTTATTTATTTAAAACTCATAATATTAAGGTTAAAACCTCACTTTGGTCTTTGAACTATTGTACGGACCCTCGATTTGGTCTTTAAATTAAAAAAATCACTGATTTAGTCCTTACTGTTTACCATTTTTACTTCAATTTGGTCCTTCCGTTAAAAATCTCATTAACTGTGCTATTAATTCATTGTAATAGGATGACGTGGCAAAAATTAATACACATGGCAAAAAAATAATAATATATAAATAATAAGAATATGAAAAATAAAACTTAAAAAAACTTAACAATTTTTTTCTTTTTTCTTTTTTTCTTTTTCCTTCCCTTTCCCTTTCTCTTTCTCCTTCCCTTTTCTCTTCTCTTTCCCCATGGAACCCAGCAACCCTAGGTTCTTTCAAACCTAGCATGCTTGGGTTCGGTGGAACCCAAGCGTTGGGTTAGCAAGGAACCCAGCACACCTGGGTTCGCAAGGAACCCAACAACCCAAGCATGCTGGGTTCACGTCTAGGTTCCTACAAACCCAGCGCTTAGGTTCGCAAGGAACCCAAGCGTGCTGGGTTCCTTGCGAACCCAACGCTTGGGTTCCACCGAACCCAAGTGCAAAAAAAAAAAAAAAATTCTACTTTTGTTTTTTGGATTTTGTTGTTTGATTGTGATGAAAATTTGATTGATGAAGATGAAGAAGGCAACGCAAGGCAGTCGTTGGGTTTCTGCAGGTGTTGGGTTCGACATTGGGTTTCATTTCAAACCCAATAGGCGGTGGGTTTCATTTCAAACCCAGCGGCTGCTAGGTTTGAGCAGTCGCTGGGTTCCTGCAAGTGAGGCTCTGGGTTCCGTTTTGAACCCAGCAGTTGTTGGGTCGAAGAATCCATTGAGTTCAATCTGTTGATTTGTTGTGTTATCCTTAAATTTAATATTAGGAGTTAGGGTTTGCAGAAGGTGAAAGGAAAGGGAGAGGAAGAAGAAAGGGAAAAAGGAAAAACAAATGAAGAAAAAAAAAAGAGGAAAAAGAAATTTTTTAAGGTTTTTGTTCTTGCCATCTCATTTTTTTGCCACGCTGTACATCTTAGGTGTCAAAATGTTTTTACATGTCATCATATTCCCGTTAAGTAATGGAACACATAGGTTGGTATTTAACGGAAGAACCAAATTGAGGTAAAAATTATAACAATAAGGACTAAATCAGGAATTTTTTTAGTTTAAGGACCAAATGGGGGACCCGTATAATAGTTCAAGGACCAAAATAAGGTTTTAACCTAATATTAAATGTATATATTTATTTAATAACATAGAAATTACATATTAAAATTATACGTAAAATTACCCTTATATCACTACCTAACGCTTTAAATATGAAAAAAAATTATCCATTTATTTTTAAGTTAATGTCACTAAAAAAACCATCAACTTTACAATAAAAATTATTATCATCCTTTTACTTTAAAATAAGTCATAACTATCTCTGAACTTTAAAGAAAAGGCCAAGCAGCATCCCTCCATTGATGGGACATCGCAACGCAGTCCATCGACCCGTTAGGATTCTCCAAATTTTAATGGTAAAATGACAATGCTTTCCCTTAACTTTCAATTCTTGTGTGCTTTAAGCCTCAAACTTCATATTTAATCAATTTAGTCCCTAATTTTAACAATTTTATTACAATATGGTTCTCAAACTTTTGAAAGATATGCAATTAAATTTCATTTACGACGAATTTTAACATTAACAACAAAGGGTATATTTGATTTCTGCAAAGGCTAGACAATTACTTGATTTTGTTACCAAAAAATTAGAGAATGGAAGGGAGACAAAACCCTTTTACTTTATTTTTCACTTTTAATTCATTTAATTATTTTAACTTATCCAAATAATAGAAGAGGAGAGGAGAGAAGAGAAGGGATTTAAGAATCATAATAATATGTTGAAAAACAAAATATTGAATAATTTTTTATTTAAAGTTGTAAATTTTATAAAAATTAAAAACCATAAATCACCTAATAAGCAATAAAACATAAACCTAATAGGAAAGTAAAATCCGTCGTGCGAGGGGAAGAGAAGCCTCTTACCTCACGTGTCCCGCACAGACAGACAAAAAAGCAACACCTGCCTTCTCAAACCAGAGCTTCACCAAGCATGGTTTTTCATGCACCATATGAAGTTTAGAAATAAATTAGAAAGGTGCTCTAGTAATAAGACCAAAACTATATAATTAACCATACTTACAAACTTCGTCGGACGACGTTCGGGAACTCAAGCTACTAGCTGTTAAACAGAGACGAATTTTAGCAAGAATGATTTGGCTGATGACCCCTTCATTTGAGCGCAAGATATGTTTAGTCCATGCTGTACTTACATAGAATATATGTAAATGCACATATGAACTCTCAACAAAGAACATAAGAAGATATCAAGATTGAAGAAGCAGATGGCATACCTGCGTGCTTGTCAGAGATTAAAGAAATTATAGAAGGTGGACACCTGATAACGAACCTCACTCTTTCTTATAATTGAGTTAGCTAAGGGCTAGAGACAACTTTCAAATGCAAGCAAGTCAATAAGAGCCATCTATCGATAGTGAAGGTGATTGGTAAATTTTAAAAAATAATTTTTTTAAAAGTAAAATTTTATTTATATATTTAAATTGGT